CAACAGTATGTGTTTTTGTTAGTTTTGGATCTTCTGGTGCCTGTTACCTGATTCTGTCGACACCTCATGATTGCACAGGCTGGTGTGCTTCTTCCATGTGGGCTTGTTGCTTCTCTGCTAGATGGCTGCTTGTTTATCTTCAAGCCTTTAAGACCCCAGACACTATATCTTTTTATCGCCGGGCACCATCAACTTTCTTCACCACATTTGCACTCATTTTGTCTTCAGTGATCATGTTGGGAGGGTGAGCATTACAGAATACCTGGCTGTTAGAACAAAGTGTTCTTGCGTTGAGGGAGGGCTTGAGCAGAGGCCCAAAGTCCACCCACTTCCTCAATGTATTGCCGTATAAATATATGTACATAGGCCAATACCTCTAGTTTATGAATTTACATAAGTATACACCTATGTTTGTACTTCTATCCATAGCTTTGAATCCTAGTTCTCTATTTCCTTTTACCTTCCTCCTGTCCCACTATCACGCTCGCTCTTCTCCTGTCTCTTAGTAATTCTTCTCAGCTAGATTGCTTTTGTTCCAACACCACCGGGATATCTGCATCCTCCTCATTGTTGATTTTAACTCCCAAGTTGTTCCCCTGTCTATGGTGTTGTTTGCTCATCACTCCCTTCCCCCACCCCCTCCTCCCCCCACGTCCCTCCAGAACCATCAGTCCCATTGCTTTCTCCTCTGGCTTGCTTCCCATGCCTATCTTATATAGGTAGGCAAAACAACAATAACAGAGACAAAACCAAAAAAAACCAGAAGATTGAATTAAAAGAAAAAAAAACCTGAAAAAGCATACAGAATTCCAGGTCTGTCCACTGACCTTTATGACTATCTCCCCACCGGTCCTGGAGGATTCTGGAAACTGCCCCTCCTCACCGGAATTCTATGTTTTCTTTTTTTTTGGCTCCTGGGGGGCTTTGTGGCTTTGCTTTGCTCCCGTTGCTGATCTGTTATGGTCCCATCTAGGTTCTCCCCACTGTGGGGGGTTCAGACCGGACTCTCTCCCTGCCATGTGTCCCCAGTATTGTCCTCTGTCACCGTATCCTCCAGTGAGGGAGCATCATGTTTCCAGCTGTTGTTGGCTCTACAGTCCTCTCTGTGACTGAGCAGCTCCACACAGGGACGTCATCCCCAGGGCTTGGTGTGCCAGTATGGGGTCTAGTCCCTTGCTCTCTCTCTTCCTTCTTGGCTTGCTTCTGTGTGAGTGTGGCAGACTGGCGCCTCTCCCCAATCTGTAGGTTTAGTGTTGTCGTCTGTGGCACACACTTCTAGGGGTGTGTGTGGGTCAGTTTGGCTGTGATTGGGGTCCACCCTGTAGCCCTCTCTGTTCAAGAGTTGCTCCATGAGGTTACATTGCCTTCAAGCTTTGGCGCACCGTGGTGGGTCTGCACTCACACTCCTGATTGCTCTCAATGTTCTGATAGAACAACAAGAGCACTGGGCAGGTGATTCTACCTGGACACCATCTTGACACATCCTCTCCTGCTTAATGCTTTCTATACATCTTCTTCTATGCTATTGGTTACAGGTTTTGCACAGTATCAGCTCTCTCATCAGTTCCATTCTGTTGGCTCGTCACTATTGATTTCACTTCCTTTCCCTACCTAGCCTTCTCATCTTTGCTTTCTGCAAGTGGTGACTGTTGGAACGCATATAGCTGACTCTTTGAGGGAGTACATCACTCACAGGTGATATGGCTGATTTTACAGGCCAGTTTGTTATTTGGCTGAGAGGTGATCTTCAAGAAGTGGCTTCAGTGCCAAGTTCAAAGTGCATATTAGAGTGACTGTCTTAGGGGTCGCTCTAGTCTCTATCACCCCAATGGCTATGGCCTTTTTAGGAATATGAATTTTATTCTACAGTCACCCCCACCCCCATCCCCAACTCCCACCCCACTCCACCTGATTCTGTTGGGATCTTCTTTCGGTCCCTGGTCAGAATGGTAAGTAGTGGTAGTTGGGCACCATCTAGTTCTTCTGGTCTCAGGCTAGATGAAGCCGTGGTTTGTGTGAACTGATTTCTTCTTTTTTTTATTTTTATAAATCATTTTGTTGAGGGCTTGTACAACTCTTATCACAATCCATACATACATCAGTTGTGTTAAGCACATTTGTATGTTTGTTACCATCATCATTCTCAAAACATTTTCTTTCTACTTGAGCCCTTGGTATCAGCTCCTCATTTTTCCCCACCCTCCTCCCACTCTCCCTCCCTCATAATTTATAAATTATTGATAATTTATAAATTATTATTTTTCCATGTCTTACACTGTCCGATGTCTTCCTTCACCCCACTTTTCTGTTGTCCATCCCCCAGGGATGTAGATATGTAGATCATTGTATTTCCTTCTTTCTCTTTTGCTCCAGACTAATAGAACCAATAGTTCTAACTTAGCTGGCAACACACACTTTAAAACCCTAGATGCTACTCACCAAATGGGTGTAGAATATTATATATATCATCATATTATCCATGTTATCATAACAATATTATACCAACTGACTAAACTGTCCCATAGAACTTGGACCTTAATATTTTAACAGCAAACCAATCTCACAAGTTGCTTGACTATGTCAAGGCAGTATCTGGATCTGTGCCCCTATGTACTTTTGTATATATAATCCTTTAGTATATATATTATACATAGTCAGGACATACATATATGTGTGTGCTTTATTATACATGTGTGTATACATACATATGTATATGTGTATATGTATGCCTACAGGTACACGTACAGGTGGACCCCTACCTACTTATGTAACCCACATTTTGGAGGGTTGTTATTCCTGATATTGCAAAGTGGTGTATTTTATAGCACTAACCAAAGCCCCTTTTTCTTGTATATTCTTGTGTCTTTACTTAACTTGATCAAGTTGTGTAGCCCTGACCCATATTTGTTAATGCCTTTACCATCACCTTTTACCATTGCCTTTACCAAATATAATATGTGTCTACAATCCAGAAAGCAATTTCCTCTCTCCCTCCCTCACCCATCCTAATAACCATCAAAGAACATTGCTCTCTGTGTGTAAATCTATTCCTGTTTTTTTATAATAGTTTTGTCATAGAATATTTGTCCTTTTGTGATAGACAAATATCACTTATTTCACTCATCATACTATCCTCCAGATTCATACATGTTATAAGATATTTCTAAATTCCATTATTATATATAGATGAATAATTTTTAATTGTATGTAGGCACAACAATTCGTTTACTTATCTGTGGTTAAACACTGTTTCCATCTTTTGTTATCAATGCATGGAGGTGTTCATTAGTTTCTATAATGCACATATGTAATTGCACTTAGACCCCTTGGATATGTACAGAGGAGTGGGATTATTGGATCTTAAGTTAGTTCTCTCTCTGTTTTAATGGAAGCGCCATATCACCGTCTCCCCACACCCTCGCCAGCATTTGTTTGTTTGTCTTTTTGTTTACCATTGTCATTGTTACAGGATGAGATGGTTTCTTACTGTAGTTTTGATTTGCATTTCTCTAATGTCTTGTGATTGCAAGCATCTTTTCATTTTGGCAGTCCCTCTGATCCACTTTACCTTCTATTGTTCATAGTTGTATCTGTGTGTGGTAAGTTATTTATGCCAAACACTAGGTCCCTATATTATTTTCCAGGAACCTTATATTTCTAGCTCTTACATTTGCATCTTTGGTCCATTTTGAGTTAGGGTTTTTTTTTGGGGCGGGGGTTGTGCATGATGTGAGGTAGGGATCCTGTTTCATTTTTCTGCAAATGGATGACCAGTTTTGCCAGCATCACTTCTTAAAGAGGCTGTTTATTTCCCATTAAATGAACTTTTGTCAAAGAACAGCTGCCCATAGATGGAAGGACTTGTTTCTGAGTTCTCAATTCTCTTCCGGTGGTCCATGCATCCATCATGGAACTGGTACCAAGTTGTTTTGATTACGATGACCGGATTATGTTTGGGAGTGTGTAACTGTGAGACCTTCTACTTTGTTCTTCCTTTTTAATGTTGCTTTAACTAAGTAGGGCCTCTTTCCTTTCCCTATAAAAATGGAGATTAGCTGCCCATTCCTCTTAAAGGATGTTGTTAGAAACATGTAATTTCTTCATACGAGCAGCTAGGCTACTGCTCTTATGTGGGAACCACAGCCTGTCTAGTTGACACATGACATTAGCCATTATGCCAGCTCCGGTTCTTCTCCTACATCAAGTCCAGACTGATTTCTCTTCAGTGAGCACGCATGTTATCTAGAGTTCTTAAGAGCACTTAGCCGCGGGCCTAAGTCCAGTGCAAACCCTGCCAGGGTAGGAAAGGAGTTTATGGACCATCCAGAATAGATCACAGATCTAGTTCTACAGAGTAGGCACATGTTAAACATCGGGGTATGGGCTGATGAGTCTCTGGGGTGGGGGGTGGGGTAGCGTGGGGGAGGGGGTGGTGTGACCAAAGCAACAAGATAAGAAATGGATTTTGTTGGAAGTCAAGATAGCCCCAGTTCACTGTGCCCTAAAGGAATGTTCACAGCTTGCTCTGCCAGTGCGGGCACTGGGGCCACCTCTATCAGATGGACTGTCCCCTGGGGGCTGTGCCTTGCAGATTGAGTTTGAAGATTATATCTTAGCTCTGCCATTTGTTAGCTATCCTATCTGGAGAGCCCCAACAGCTTAACTTCCCCAAACCTTAAATTTCTTTATCTGTAAAATAAGGCTGATAAAAACATTTACCGTTATGGGGAAGATAAAAAGGAATGAGAAAGCACCTGTAAAACACCTATATGGTACTGCGTTACTGAGTTGTAATGATCATCACATTGTCCTTCCTTGGACTGCTGGCTTACCACCCCTTTAGCTCTGACTAGAGAGGTAATTAGATACTGGAAGAAAGAGTGAGTGGGGTGGTTCTCTTTGAGTTGATAGTGCGGCTTGGTGCCATCAGAGAGAATGCGTTATGGAGAAGGGCAAGAGTGCAGAGGCCAGTTGGACGTAGGAAGCAACTGCTGTGGAAGATGATAGACCAGGATGGAGCAGGAGTAGGTCGGGAATGGCCACCTGGAGGGCAAGACCTGAACCGGCCTCCAGAGAAGTGGCTGGCCAGGCAAGGATGGATGAGGTCAGGTATTGATCAATGCAACTGCCATGACCATCACCAGCGATACTGAGCATACTACGTAGATGTAACGGAATCCATTGGCTCAACTTTCTAACTGCATTCCAACTGGGATCACTTCTCACCGCCTCCACCACCATTCCCGCGTCCAAGCCGCCCCTAGCACTCATCTGGACAATTGAAATGCTTCTTGCCACGTCTCCCACTTCCATTCCATTCCTTTCCTTTCTCTCTCCTGTCTGTATCACCTCACGGTAGCCAGAATGATCTTGTAAATATGTGTGGCAAACATGCTACCTCTGTTGAAGTCCCCTCAAAGGCTTCCTACTTCATTTAGAGTAAAATATGAGGTCCCAAATATGACCTAGAAGGCTCCCTGTGACCTGGGGCCTTTCCACTTCTATGCCTCCCCACTCCTCCTTGCTTATTTCCCTCCTATCACACTGGCTCCCAGCTCACTTGGGGCCTTTATTGCTGCATAATCAACTACCCCCAAACTTAATGGCTTAAAGCTATGAAGATAGAAATGTTGCTCAAGAATCATCTATTAGGGCAGAACTCAGTTGAGATAGCCTATTTCTGCCTCCCCGGAGTCTGCTAGGGTGGCTAGACAAAGGGCCATTCACATGTCTGGCAGTCAGAGGGACCTCAGCTGGGGCAGTGTCCTGCACACCTACAGGAGGTCTTTCCACGTGGCTGCTTAGCTTCCTCCCAGGATGCCGCTCGGATTCCCAGAGTAGACCTCTCAGGAGGACTAGGAGGAAACTATGGCCTTCCATGAATTACATCAGTCGTCACCCCTTACACTATACTCACAGACCCGCCCAGACTCAAGAAGAGGGGACACAGGCCCCACCTCTCGATGGAAGAGCATCAGTGTCACCTTGTGTGAGGAGAGGTACAATGTGGCCTTTATTGTTTCCCATACCCTTTCCATGTCTCTGCTCAAATATCCCCTTAACAGAGAGACTTTTGCTGATGATCTCATATAACATAACCCTCCATGGGAATACCCTTAGTCCCTTTTACCTTGATCTAATCAAATTCATAGATTGTCTCACCACATAGTCAGTGCTGTGTAAACATTTATTAAATAAATGAATCAATCGTCATCGTCACAACCAAGATAGCAGGCAATATTTATTGAGAGGTTCCGATATGCCCCGTGCTAAAAAAAGTTTCTTACACATGATCATGGAGGGAGATAAGGGAACCCAGATACCCGTGCTTGACTCTCTCTGTCTTAGGGGAGAACAGCAGGTGTGCCACAGCTGAGGTCTCAGTTGTAGCGTGTGACACGTCGCAGTGTTTGGAGAAGCAAGCCTATCTCCAACCATTCTCGTGGAAGCTCCTTGGGGACTCAAGTCTGACCTGCTTATTGACTTCTTCCTCTTTCTTCCCAGTGTGGGTGACTGTCAATGCCATCTTTGTGGAAACCCCCCAGGAGGTGATTCGGGCTGTCCGGGGGAAGAGTGTCAAGCTCCCATGCAGCTACCAAACTTCTACCTCGGACCGAAATGGACTGATCCAGTGGGATAAGTTGCTGAGGAGTCATTCGGTAAGGGTCCTTACCATCCTGGGGCCCCCTGGGGAAGTACGATCATCTATCACTTCTTGAATCAGAAAATCACTTCGTTTACAATACCAGGAATGACAGCTACAACAGGAAGAGTGTCACATTCATGGTAAAAAAGCACATTTCAAGATCTATCTGGAAGTACAACGTTGCCTGTGCTAGAATCATATCTATCCACATGCAAGGAAATCCCGTCAATACAACGAGTATTCAAAGGGATGCTACCACGAAAGCTAGTGATGCAGGCATTGAAGAATGCTATCGATGCCTTCAGTCTGAAATTGATCAAACATGCCACCAAGATGCATTGGTAATGATTGGAGATTGGAATACAGAAGTTGGAAACACAGGAAACTATGGCCTCGGTGGTAGCAATGAAGCTGCAGATTGTGCGATAGAATGTTGTGAGACCAACGACTTCGCCGCTGCAAACACACTTTTTCAACACAAAAGGCAACTATGAGCGTGGACTTCTCTAGATGGAACACACCGCATCCAATGGACTGTGTTTGTAGGAAGAGACGATGGTCAAGCTCAATGTCAGCACCTAATAGCCACCCACTGCTCATATGTACGATCAGGTTGAAATCGAAGAAAACGAAAGCATGTCCAGCAGAACCCAGCTACCTTGAGTCTATCCCACCTGAGTTTTGAGAGCATGCAAGAACAGATTTGACACACGAACGCTGATGGCTTAGGACCTGCGGAGCTGTGGGAGGACATCAGGAACATGATTCATGAAGAAGGCAAAGGTCATTAAAAAGAGAGGAAATAAAGAAAAGATAGAAGTGCGTTAGAAGAGACTGTGAAACTTGCTCTTGATCATAGAGTAAGCAAATGGAAGAAATGATAACGTCAAAGAGCTGAAAAGAAAACTCAAAGGGCAGCTCTAGAAGACAAAGTAAAATATCACCACGAAACATGACAAAACCCAGGGTCAGACAACCAAGAAAGCTGCACACTCAGCATATCTTAAACTGAAGGAATTCAAGGGGGGAAAATCAAGTTTGCGATGCAAGATAAAAAGATAAGCAAGATATTGAATGATGCAGGAAGCATCGAAGAATATGGAAAGAATACACAAAATCACTATACCAAAGAGAACTGGTCAACATTCAACCGTTAAGAGCTAGTATATGATCAAGAACTAATGGTACTGAAGGAAGAAGCTCAAGCTGTACTGAATGCATTAACCCAAAACAAGCCTCTGTGAATTAATAGAACACCAATTAAAATACTTCAACAAGCTGAAGAAGCACTGGAAGCACTCACTCATCTATGCCAAGAAATGTGGAACACAGCCACCTGACCAACTGACTCGAAGAGATCCATATTTGTACCCACTCCAACAGAGAGCTCGAGCTATAGAACAATATCATTAATGTCGCATACAAGTAACATTTTGCTGAAGATCATCCAACAATGGTTGCAGCAGTACATTAACAGGGAGCTGCCAGAGGCTCCGTTTGGATTCAGAAGAGGACATGGAACAAGGAATGTCATTGCTGATGTCAGATGAATCCTGGTTGAAAGCAGAGAAGACCAGAAAGATGTTTACTTGTGTTTCATTGACTATGCAAATGCAACTGTGCGAATCATAACAAACCACAGACAATCTTGGGAAGAACGGGAATTCCAGAACACTTCATTGTGTTCCTATGGAACCTGTACAGAGATCAAGAGGTGTGAGCAAAAGAAGAGAATACTGCTTGATTTGAAACCAGGAAATGTGTGTGTCATAGCTATATCCTCTCACTATACTTATTCAATCTGTTTGTGAGCAAATACTCAGAGAAGCTGGATTATATGAAGAAGAATTCGCCATCAGAATCAGTGGAAGGCTTATTAACAACCTGCAATGTGCAGATGACACAATCTTGCTTGCTGAGAGTGAGGAGAAATTGAAGCACTTTTTAGTGAAGGTTAAGGATTGTATCTACAGAATGGATTACAACTCAATGGCAAGAAGATCAAAATCCTTACAAGTGGACCAATAGGTAGCATCATGGTAAATGATAAAAGATTGAAGTTGTCAAGGATTTCATCTTGCTTGGATCCACAGTCAGTGCTCATGGAAGCAGCAGTCAAGAGATCCAAAGACACATTGCATTAGGCAAATCTGCTGCACAAGACCTCCTCAAAGTGTTGAAAAGCAGGGATATTACTTTGATACCTAAGATGTGCCTGACCCAAGCCATGGTATTTTTTT